GAAGGAATCATATTGCCAGCAGAGATGTAAAATCAGGTCGGGACTGTCGCTGGTTATTTAAAGGTATTGCGATGCTTTTTGTAAGGCTGAACATATTACATGCTGTATCTTGGCTAAATTCCATCTTTTATAATTACATCCTCTTCTCCCCTTCTCAAACATTTCTTGCTGTCACAAGAGGATGCAGCATTCTTCTTTCTCCTGGTCTAGATGTCTGGGTAGCAGTGTTTCAATCTCATCATGATCTCTCTGAAAGACAGATTCAAGTTGCCCAAGATGCAGCATGATCTTTGCATCACTCCCTGTGGCATTGCTGTGGATGGACAGAAAGAGGGGTTTGATATTAATACTCAGGCAGAAGTTCCATTTTTCTCCCTGCTTAAGTACAAGCACAAATCTGTTGGTTTGGCTTCCGCCACCATTACGCGTTTGCTACAGTATAATCACTCTCTGGAGCAGTGGGAGGCTTAATACTTTAAGTCTAAAAAGTACTTTGAGATCATTTTAGTCAAGATGAAAATGCCCGTATCCTGTTAGTACTGGGAATGCTTTTAGAGTGCTGACCAGCTTGTGCTTCCAGCTTGATGAGCTGGTGATTGTAGCCCTTAGATGGCATTTTGTTAAGCAGAATCCACAGGGGGGTTGTGACTATGTTAGCTGCTCAGTGAACTGCCAAGATCATACTGAAAGCAAACAAGGGGTGTGTCACTATAAACAAAAAAACCCAGCCACCTGATAGTATTTTAATATTGTTTTCTCTGTGGGTACAATGTTTGCTGTCAAGAAGTCCCCACAAGCCTGTTACTTGGAAACCCAGGCAGATACTTTGCTAGAGCAATGGTCTGGTCTTTGCAGTCTACTACAGCTGTGGGCAATAGTGGATATTTGAGAGGAGAGCCTAGTGAAGATGTCCACCAGTACATCTGGCCAAAGGCACTATGCCAAAAGTAAAATTCCCATTACAAATGGCACTAGAGGGGTATCCCGTTGCCAGTTTCCACAAAGACAAAATTCAATTGACTAAGAAATGAAACTACTGTTTCTCACCTGGAACACTCGCAAATTGGACTGAGAGATTTGGGGAGAGGCTGATCAAGTTTCACTGCAAGTGCCAGAACTACAAGCTTTTTTATGTGTCAAATGGTTTTCTGTGGTGCTCAGTCTGCATGCTCTTGGAAGTTGGACTCTCAGTAGACTGAATTCCTCTTTCCTTTCAGGGCTCTCCTTTGGTGGCAACTGGCCTGATTCCTCACTGCTTCGTACATTTCAAGAGAGAGGCGTATGTAGTGATTTAAACAAGTGCCATTTATCAGTAGTGTTGTCTCTATATGCTCCCTTATATTCTCTTTGCTCAGGACTATGAGACTGTCTATGCACCAGTGAATAATGACACCTATAGCTCCCTGTCTTCTTTTTACTTCTTGTTTTTCTCTAGTAAATACATGAGGGTCTAAACAAGAATAGCATCTTTTGATAAGTACTGATTTCATATCTTTCCTTTGGTGAAATCCAGCTCTACTCATGTACCTCTTTTGCAGAAAGGTGCTCAAATATTTCAGAGGAATGTCTGTAGCAGAAAAAGAAGGCAAAAGTACATGGCATGGGCCAAACCCCCTACATCAGCTTAATCTTGCCACCGTGGATCTCTACAGCAGGTAGAACTTGGCAGTACAGCAGTGCGTATGTGTTCCTGATGTCAGGAGCCTCTGGGATGCTCTTATTGTGCCGGCTGCAGCCAGACCTTAGGAAGAACTGCTGGAGCCCTGGCGCAGAGGAGTGCTCTGTATCGCACCGTTACCTTTGTGCGGCCAGAGAGCAGGAGGGAGGGTGGGAGGATGGAGGAGGTGTAGCGCCCATGCAGTCAGCTTCCAACTACCTAGCAGGGGAATGTTTGGTGGTGACTCCAGGCAATGTTAAAGCGCCTTTACACAGTGCAACAACTTCAGCTGGGGGCTGAGAATCAGCTCTCATGTTTTATTCATCCAAATTGCCTTTCCCCACTCCAGAAATCGACACTCATCTCTTCACTAAAGAATCTGTTCAATTTCCTCTTGTTTAGCACTGTGCTGCAGTGCTCACATTTCCACCGAGTACCTTCACTTAGAGACTGATCGGGAGTAATCACAAGTCCAACTTCTCAGGAGTGAAGCGTGGGAGAGAGAGGGAGGTGTAGGTTCATCTAATTTGATCAGTCTGTTTTGTTATACAGAATATTTGATTTTCAATAGCCAGCTTCTGTGGAAGGAAATAAAAATACAAGAAATCCAGCTTCTTTTCCTTTTTGCCTTTTTGGTAAGATTTTAGGTTTGACTCATCTTTCCCAGGCTAATTGTCAAGAATCTGACAGATCAGTCGTGGTTGACAAGTGAGTAATTGGGAGAAGAGAGGGAGTGCAGCAGGTGTCAGTACTAATTTGGTAAAACAAAAAAAAAAAAAAAAAGAGTAGAATGTGGTATGATAGTCACTTACACAGTCATGACGTTACAAGCTTTTCATACAAAATGTGTGCAGGATTTTACAACACTTAGAGCATTAACTATTAACCAGCCACTCCTGGTCCATTTCAAAGGTGGCCTACAAATTCACCAGAAGATGTTTTTGAGCCTCTTAACAGGAAAGACTGGTTCACAACACTGCTGGGGAATTGGACAAAAATTAGTTTCACAATTCTCACCTGTCACATTGCTGGGCACATGGAACAGTCTTTGCAGGGGGCAGACTCCATGTGCTGGCCCTGGCATGGCTGTGCTAGGCTGGACCATCAGGGAAGGATACCACTACCAACCACTGTTGCCCTGCCAAGATCTCCATTGCCCACAGCTGCCCTAATTCTCCCAAACTGTGACTCTGCACAGTTCCCATTCATTGCTAAGAGGCTGATTTTACAGCAAAGCCACAATCTCGCTTGCTGAGTGGAAGAAATGAGCTTTGCACCTGGAGAATTCCTCCGGCTCTGAAGAGAACAGTCTAAGACACTGCTGTATTTTAGAAATCAAACCCTTGGAAATATATTCTTTTACTTACCTGCCAAATCTGCCCCTCTGAGCTCTGTATTTCCTTGCTTCAATCTCAGTTGTCACTGATGCTGCCTCAACAGCAACCAGTGTTCTCTTTTTGATCTCTGTAATGGTGTTAGCAACTACAGGCCAAATAATAGGTTCTACTGACAGACTCCAAAGATGCATTTTTGCTCTGAAGTAGCTGTACAAATAGCATTGCAGCATTTCATGTTTATTGTCTGCTAAAGATTTCTGTATCTTATATGTTCTATTTCAAAGAAATAAAGCTTTTTTCTCCATTTAACTGCCAGTTCTGAAAATTCACTGTGGATTCAAAGAAAAGCTGATTATTTTTTTCCTGGTTTCTGCATAGTTATTAAGAATACAGAGGCTGCAGGGCAATTTCTGCTCTGGCTTTCATCTGTATATCCCTTACTATCTTGGAAAGTTGCCTTCACTTTCATGCATGGACTATTTGAGGTGGAGGGGGCCTGCAAGGTAGCTCCAGGTAGCAGTTGTGTTTCTAAGGGATGGGGCTGGAAGGGAATCTGGTACCTCATCTCAGAGCTATGAGGTAGTGAAGCTCCTCTCTGGCTCAGACCTTCGAAAATCACCTCCAAACACCTCTACCTCCAGTATAGATCAACTAAGCGCCAATTTTCTTCTTCTCACTTTCCAGGATGTAAGTGTTGCTTATTGGAAACATGTTTGGGTTGCTTTTTTCTGTTTTCTTTAAGTGAAAGAGGCATCTCCACCAGCCATATGGAGCGGCTTCCTCTCTGCAAAGCATCTATCTGACGGGGAGTGCATCCATTCAACCTTTCACAATACAGACCTTAATTCAACAGGGAAGAGAGCTGACAGGAACCTTTGCAGCAGATTTAAATCAGAGGCAAATAGTCGAGCAATATAAAGCAATCTGAGCCAGCCAGCAAAGTCATGCTGACCTTCTGCTGGTATTACTGCAGCCCGAAGCGTGACTTCGGGTGCCGCATCCTCGGGAATGACAGCACTGCGCTGGGGGAAGGCACAGGGCCCTTCCCAACAGCTCTGTTGCTGCCGGATGGAGTGGTATCACTATGACAACCTACAGGTATAGGATGTGAGCGGTAGCGGGAGCTTCCAGCTGACCCTGATTGCGTGTGCATGACTCAGAGCTGGGCTTCCCTGCCCGGGAGGGGAGCAGAGAACACGTGGATCCACAGGTGACTCTCCCCAACTCTGTCCTGTCACTTGCTAGCAAGTTTGGGATATAAGGCAAGGTGGGAGCTTTAGAGACATTGGGTAGCTAGGATTTAAAATAATCTTTTCTGGGACAAGGGAAGGGAAGAGTCATTTTTCTCCTCTGTTTCTAGAGTCCTCCTCCAGGAAAAGACTTGAAGAATATAAAGCTGCCCTTCAAACTCTGCCTTCTGCAGCCTGTTAAAAGGTAAAAAACTTCCAAACTGCATACGCGCTGCCTGCCTCTCTGTGTGCATGTGTGTGTGTGCGTGCATGCGCGCGTTACTTTCTTTCACTACTATGACAGCACATGCTCCTCCAAAGCTATTCACAGCATTAGAAATACAACTCCTCCCTCCAGTGCCCCGTGTGTGTGTGCGTGGCTCGGGCTTTCTGCTTCGGCTCACTCCCCTCTGATCACGGGGCTGATGGTCACGACTCTGCTCCACATCTCCGGGCTTCACACAGAGGGGAGGAGGATCAGGGAAAACATAGAAGCAGGCACACAACTGACCTACAGAGCCATCGATAACTTACTCCCCTCGCAGCAGAATTGCATAGCGGAGGGGAGGGAGGAAGGAGGGAGAGGAGAAAGAGGAGGCGGAGGAGGAGAAGGAAAAAAAGAAAATCCAGAGAATTCTAGTCTTGCAAATGTAGTGAAACTGAGTGGTCGGAGTTCATTTGCTCTAGGAGAGCAGAGAAGAAAAAGAACAGTAAATGAAAAAAAGCAAGAAAGGTCTGTAGCTTTTTTCCTGATAGTAGCGGTGTTTTAGAGGTAAAATGATTCCTCCGAGCAGCACGACTGAAGTCAGCGTGGATAGTGTGGAGAAAGAGAATGAAGTGGAGAGCACAGAGCAGCCCCCCTCTCCAGCATCAACTACCAGCCAGGAATCAAAGGTACTCAGAGAATGAGATTTTTTTTTTTTTTTTACTGTTTCTTTGTTTTGAAGAGAGATGTGTTGCTTTGATTTTTATTTGGAGCCCTGTGCCAGGATCAGCGGTAGAGTGCTATGAGCCACCTCTGATTGCCATGCCTGCTCTGTCACTCCTACTTCTGAATTCTCCCTGTCACCTGGGCAGCTGAGGAGTGTGAATTGGGAAAATACCTGCCTTTTGACATGTTTGGGTCTGGGGATTTTTGCTTGTGTTTTCCCCTCCTTATTACAGTAAGGGCCTGGGGGAGTAGTGGGGTTCAGGGAGGGGATCGATGTTGATAGGTGGTGTTAGCTATTTTCACACCAAGCGTCAGATCATTTAAAGGGTTTTGTTCACGGTTGGAAAGATCGATTTTTCTCCCAGGTTCAGAGAAGAGAAATTTGCCTGAGGGCTTGGGGTGTTTCACCTGCCTCACCTTCTCTGGCAGACCCATCAGTGAACTTCCACTGTTTAACAAGCCAGCAGTTGAAACAGGATGTAAGTGAAGGTTTTGGCACAATAATCCTTATGTACACCATCCAGAAAAGGATTTTTTCCCCACAGCCTTTTATTTATTTATTTATTTAAAAATGTGGTTCGATTTACCTTACTGAAAACCAACTTCCAGCTCAAATGGCATGCCCTCTGAATTTTTAATTGACTTGCATATGAAAAGTTTTTCTGCCTGCCAGTATGTTACTTGGAAGATAGAGAGGTAAAGGGAGAAAAGTAGTAACCTTACATAATGAATGTTCTTTGCAGCTTACCTGAATAATGTGTTTTTACTGATCCTCTGTTACTTATGATTGATATCATGATCTTCCTGTGAACTTCACAGTGATGCTATGTGCTGTGTAAACATGTAAAAATAGGGAGGTCCTTGTCGCTAGGAGCTTACAGCTGGGTAGAGCCTTAGGAGGTACTGTATGAGCAAAACAGCTACTTGACAGGGAAGGTTTGTGCTGCCCTGAGTTTAATGGCAGTGGCTGCCTGGGTCTAATGTAGGAAGATTGTTACGTTATTCCGCAGTTATAGCTAGGTTTCTGGGGAGTGAGTCGAAATTATCTGTCTGTGTGGGTAGAGTTCTGACGTGGGCTTTGAGGATTTTTTATTTTATTAGATGCTATACTCCAAGGAGGAGAGCTAAGGTATTCCCGATGTAAAACAGCCTCTTTAAAGGAGAAGAGCTCTCCCAGCAGCAATAGCATACACTATTCACTATACACATTCAGCACTACTGGGACACTGCTGCAGTCTTCCTGGTTAATGGGAAATGAAAAGTAAACGGGTTATTGGTTTAACCCCAAGCTCTAAAAGGATCCGGTTGATCAGTACCTAAATCCCCTCCTGAAGACCACTTCTCTGGAATTGCTGAATTGTTATTTGGCCAGTGGGAAGCTTAGCCCCTCAGTGAAGTCCCAAAAGCAACTGGAGACTTCACTGCACTGCCAGCACCAGCTCCTCATGCATGCTGGGCTGTGTGCAGCGCCTGGTGGACTGTGTGCTGCCGGCTATGGTCCTCACTCAGTGCCGAGCAAGTGGTTATGGAGCTTGAGGTGCTGCTCACATGGTTAGGCACTTCATTACGATGGTGCTTGAGGGACTTTCCCGTGGGGTCACACAGCGCTGTGCCCAAGACAAACTGACCAGCGTGAACCCGAAACTGAGAGAAAGTGAAGTGCTGCATGTGGGGTTCCTTCTTGCTGTTTGTGCATCCATGCACTTGCAAGAATGACAACTGGAATTAGGCACATCTGGCCGGAGAACAAATAGGCTACAAATTGCTTTATAATCAAATGTTATTATCATCAATTTTTCCAGTCTTGTGAGCATTTGAAGTGATACACTGGAATAGGCAAAAGCTATGACTGTGCAGTTGATGCCATTACTTGCATACAGATATTTTTAGTAAACATATGATCTGCCGATTTACATTTTAGAACTGCAAATACAATCAGAAAGCATGCTGTATTGTCATTTCAGTAGATGGAGTCAAAAGACCCTTCTGATCACTGGACTAATGAGATAAACTTTCTTTTTTTGGTCCTAGCAAATGGCAGGATGGAAAAATTCCCAGTGATTTCATGAAGATGTTGTTTGTGCTTGTTTGGTTGGGTTTTTCTCTCTTTCTAAGAGAATTGATGTACTTCAAAAGCTAAAGACTTTTGACACAGGCATATGTCAGTGTGTGCCAAGGGCCTGTGTGCAAGGTTTTATCCCACGGTGTCCCCTGCTGAGGGAGCTATCCTGTCTTTCACAGAGGGCTAAGCTTTCTTCAGGTACTCTCTGTTGCATAGGTTAACACGTTCATGTCTGCTGCAGTTACTGCAGAACAGTTTGTGCAGTATCTAATTACTCCACAATGACTTGTTTCTGTGGCAAAACGCTATTATGACTCCAAATATAGGAACAGAAACAACATGGATAATAGCAGCCTTCAAAATGCATTTGAAAACATTTCAGTGGAAAAACAATTTTGAAAAACTAACGTAGAACTAATGTAGCAAGCTTCCAGTCCTGTGTAATCGTAGACAACTGTGGCATAAAGTCCCTTGTAGTACCAAAGTCCAGAAAAAGAGTTTTATCTAGCACGCTCCAGACTGTACTCAGAAGGTGACACAGAGGAGATATTGCAATTCCTAAGTAGTGTGAGTGTGAGAGGCAGAACTTCAAGCTGCTACCAAGTAGCTGAAATTTGGAAGAATGACTCCGATGTCAGTCACACGCCCCTGTTACAGGAAGGCAGCTCACTCTTTAGCAAATGCTGAAGCCTCCCACCACCTTTTCCTATGGATTAGGAGCATATTTACAGGTAAACACACCCAGATACTGAAAGCTGAAAGACTAGACCCTCATGCATACCCTCCTCATCATGAGCACCTTAATACTCGGACTTCAGTACAACTGCTCAGAATGAGGAAATTCAAATTCACTTTTAATTCACCACATTTCCTGGGCTCTGAGTGCAAACTCCCATTTACATGTTCCAAGTATGTGTTTTCCTTACGGCATAGTGTGTATATATATATTCCTATATAACATGACTGTCTTCTGGATTATGTGTCCTCAAGTACTTTACACATAATACCTCCAGTGTACTGTCTCATTAATATAACTTCAAATAGGTGTCCGAAGGCTAAGCAAACACACTGTAACTGAGCCATCCAGTAGCGCTATATATACTGCTACTATGCTAAAAACCCTAGAGCTTGAATGGTTAAGAATGTTGCTAAACTAATAATTAATTTATTAAATTAATTTAATAGCTCTTGAAAACATTTACTTCACACCTAAGTATGACTTGAGTGGATACTTAAAGTTTACTAGGAGAATAACTTTATGAGGGTACCATACAAATACATGTAATTGCTAATTTTATTACATTCATATGTTTGTAGTTATGGCTCCCACCTGTTTGGGTCCTTCACAGCTGGCTTCCAAGAAGGCAAATTATCAGTTTGTGAAAGACTTTTGTAGATTTACAGCTCAGCGATAGAGGAAGTCATTAGCTAATGAATCCTAAGGGAAAATTTCCTCCTGGTGGTAACAGTTAAAGACACACTACACACTTACACAGGCACTAACTTAGCAATATAAGCAGAAATCTAGTGGCAGCAATCAGAGATCATATTTCTGATGTCTCTTATGTAAAGGTACCTTGGAATTTAGTAAAGAAAACTAAAATTTGAAGGAATATGTGTCTAAAGAAAAGATTCCTACACCTGACAATATTTCCTTATGTTTTGCATAGTTGGCACATAACTCTGTTAGCTTTATCCTTCTTATATTTAACTGACATTTCTATATGAAGAGATAAGAGCCCATCTGCTAATTTCTTTAGGTGTGAGTCAAGTCATTATCACTGTATTGTGAATAATGGCTGGGGGTATTCACAGACAATAGAGTATATCTCAGAAAATTCTCTTACCATTTTTAAGTTTTAGGGGGGTACTTGATCATCTGTGTTTGAGCTAATGCAGCAGGGTAGCTCAGCACTGCTGATCTTCAAGCTGTTAGTGTTTCATTTCAAGTATGTTAAAGATCTTTCACGCTCTCTCATACACCCCAGAAGGAGTATCAAGCCCTGCCCCTGCCATTGCAGGCAATCTGTCATGTAAAAGTTACTTATTTGTAGATATCAATGGATATCTGTGAAGACCAAATGTTTTTTTCACAGCTTCGCCTATTTCCATCTACTTTTTATAAAGTCCAGCTATAATTGTGATGTACTGCAGTCACGCATCTTTGGTATGATAGCTTCAAAATTTTCCTCTGAACTGCAAATTCCTGGGCCTAACAAATTGTATTTCACAAAATAAATGAGTCTATCCAGTCTGACACATCCATACACTAGCTATCCAGTTGCTGGTATTCAGGGAAATGCAGACCATTATCTTCAAATTCAGGAGATGTAGCACAATTGTTCAAACACTAGTTAACCTCCTGATGTGTAGTACGTGAAAAGAAAGTTGCTGAAAAGTAGCAAGCCAAGAAAAAGATTAAGCACTGACGTTCAAGATGTAGACTTCATTTATATATATCCCCACATCTGTCGAGAAGGTTGAACTTACTTTCTCCCGTCCAGCTCGTCCAATAAAGCAATATTGCTTACGTGAGGTTTCAAAACCAGGTGTTAGTATTAGGTGCTGAACTAACGTAAACAGCTTGAAACTCTTTGGATTTTAATAGGATTGCGTGGGATTTAAATCATGCAGGATTTGTGCTATGCTGTTAAGCAGAGATATTCCCCACTTAAAGAGTTAATACTTTATGAGGGTCCATAGTTGGTTACTCATCAATTAATATTTTAAAAGGGCAGGGAGTGTGGTGTACAGTTAGTGTTTCACCCTCCACACCAGTGATAAATAATCAGTATGTAAACTACTGCTGTAGTCTTCCAAGGAATATTAAGCAGCTTAAAAAAATCCTGTGAAAAGAGAAATAAAAACCAGATCTTCTTAATCTTACCTCCATGCCTCTGT